TTCCAGGCAGGCTGGAAACTGCTGAAGAGAGCCCAGTGGAGTGCTGTGGAGATGATGGGGGGCCTGGAGCATCTCTTGATAGGGACAGGCTGAGAGCCCTGGGGCTGTGCACCTGGGGAAGAGATGGCTGAGGGGATCTCCAGAGGTCCCTTCCAATCCATGTGGTTCTGTGATTTCTCCTGTAAGTGCTGTCCAGAACAGCCCAGAACCTCAAAAGTCACAGCTGTTCTCCCACCCATATGGTCACAGCCATGGGGTTGCCCCATGTCCTCTCTGTCCCATCAGGGCCACAAGGTCCCCAAAGGATACTATGGCACAATGGAATTAGCCCTGTTGATCACTGGTGTGGTCCTCTCTCTGCAGTTCCTTTCTCTGGATGACATCAGCAACACCAGCCAGGCCAGTGTGGACTTGAAAATGGACCATCAGCCCAGTGTAAGGGAAGCTGCTGTTGTCCTTCTGGTCTCCCCTCCCTCATATCAGACTCTTCTCACTGAATCCCTGCTGCCTGCCCAGCAGAGCTCTTTGACTCCTGTTCTCTTGCAGGCTGTGAACGTTGTTCCCTTGACTCCAATGTCTTTGGTTCCCCCAGAAGAGGCTGAGAAGACAAACAACCCTCTGTTCAGGTGAAAGTCCCCCAGCCTTCAGCTGGCCCCCAACTTGCTTCACAGCACAGTCTGACTGCCCCCATTCCATGGCAGAAGGGTCATTCCTTTTCCCCTGGCAGGCAGGCAGGAAGAGTAATCCCAAGTGCACTGAGATGTGGGGGTGGGTCCTGATGCAGGACAGGGAGGCACAGAGGGAGTGGCAAGGCAGGGGCTGCTCTGGGGTGGGCGGGCAGGGCTTTGCATGGCCAGGGAAACCAGAGTATGGCAAGTGGGGACAGTCTGCATTCCTGTTGGCCTGGGGATGCCTTGGCTCTGCTCCCTCTGTCCTGGGGGGGGGCACAGAGCCCTGACAGTCCCCATGTCTGCAGCCGGAAGGGGGAGATCCTGGCCAGCAGGAAGGATTTCAGGATGAACACCTGCACCCCTCACACCAGTGGAGCCTTCATGCTGGAGCTGGCAGGGCTCTCCCCAGTGTGTTTGCAGGATCGGCACCGTGAAGAGAACAACACTGGTGGAGCAGTAGGTACAGTGCTGGGGTGAGGACCCAGACTCCTCATCTTGAGGAGTGGGCTGTGGGCTGCACAGAGCAGGGAGGCACTGCTGGGATGCTTCCCTTCTGCCTCGAGAGAGGATGTGAGCAAAAGCAACGAGAACAGCCCAGCTCCTTGGGAGCAGGAGATGTGGCACTGCCTTTTCTCTGCCACCCTTCCTTCAGCCAAAGATTTCTGACTCCTTGAATGGGGTTTGTTGGGCTGGGGAGGCCATCGGCCTCAGTAGGAAGGAGCAGCACCATGGCTGCTCTGCTGGCATTTGAAGTCCTGTGGGCAAAGCACAGTGACCACACCTCTGTCCCTTGGCAGGAGCACAGTCCTCTGTCATCGGTGGGAGGGAATCCCTACGTGTGAGCACCAGTGCGATGCCTGTCCAGGCACTGAACTTCTCAGATGATGGAGGTGAGATGTGCAGGATCAGTGGGGTCTGTCCCTCCATCCTGCTGGGCTGGGTTGTCCTGTCTTCAGGCAGCTGCTGCTGCGTGGGGTGCTCCTCCTCTGTCCCCCGACCCTACCTGGCCTGTTTGACATGGTTTGCAAAGTAATGCCTCTTCCTCAGGGGAAATCCTCATTGGGTAGAGTGGAAAAGGGAGATCCTTAATGATCTCATAGCTGCTGACCGTTTGCTTGCCCCACTAGGTGCTGCAGGACCAGATGATGACCACGATGGTGGGGATGACTTGCTTGTGGACCCTGAGGACAACATGGAAGTGACTCCAGCTGCCAATGAACACATTGAGTCACAGCGGGTAGGGCAGATAGGGCTTGGTAGGGCTCTGGAGCCTGGCTGCCCTGTGGCTCACTGCCTGATGTTCCTTCTGTGTCTGCTAGAGCGTGCCCCAGGTGAAGGGTTATGTGCTGCGGCAGCGAGCCCCTGCTGAGGACCTTCAGCCCCACATCAAGGTAGGGGGGACACAGAGCAAAAGCAAATCCTAGATCTTTTCCCACCTCCATGATTCTCAAAGAAAGAGAAGTCCGACTGTCAACCCATCATCACAATGCACTCTAAACCATGCTCCCAAGTGCTACATCTTCAAGTTTCTTGAGCGCCTCCAGAGGTGGGGACTCTTCCACTGCGCTGGGAAGCCTGACCACTCATTTGGAGAAGAATTTTTTTTTTTTTTTTTCCTAATACCCACGCTGACCCTCCCCTGGTGCAACACAAGGCCCTCACCTCTTGTCCTTTTAAAGCCTGGACGCTGTAGGAAGCACTCTGCACTGCAGTTAGTGCTGCACCAATACCTGTGAAAGGGTTTGCAGAGCCACACAGCTGCAGTGTGCCCCACAGTGCTCTGCCAGTGCTCATACACACTCGCTTCTTCCACCAGGAGATGCTGGATCCCTGGCAAAGCCTTGACCCCTTTGGTGACTCCGAGGACAAACCCTTCAGGAAAGGTATTTGAGGTGGGGCTGTGGAAGAGTGTCTGCTCACATGCCTTGAGGCTGCTCACCTCCAAAGGCTAGAACAGGGTTCTCCCTGCAGATCATCTCCTTCTGCCCCACAGGGAGGCCCTTCCTGGTGCCACGTGGCATGGATGATGTGGTTGGTAGCAAGCGGAAAAGGAAGGGATCCAGAAAGCTTCAGGACTTCTTGAAATGGTTTTCTGCCACCTGTGAGTGTTGTGGCCAGACCTTACCTGGGTGCTGCTGCCTGTTCTCTTCACTGGACTGCACCTGTAGGGGTTTCTAACTGCAATCCTGTTCTTTTCAGACAACAACAGTGCTGACTGCAGGAAAACCAGGAGGAAAGGGCCGACGTTTGCTGGTGGGTTGGGCTGCAGTGATGCACAGGGCTCCAGGTGCAGCAGTTGTGCTGTGAAGCCCTTGTTGGGTTGGGTTTGCACTGGGAAAAGGCAGTAATCCTTACTGGGGTGACTGAGAGCTGAAAAAGAGATAAACACCTTGGAGAAGGGGCACCCTGCAGGCTGCAAAGCTCAGATTTCTGTGGTGAGGCTGTGTGAGGGCTGAAGCAAAAGACAGGAGGAATAAGCAGTTTGACAACTTAAGATGGATGGGGATTTGTTGTGTTTAATGTTCACAGCACAGAAATCTGTGACTTCCAGTCCTGCAGCCATTCCTCATTTGAAAAGCAGCTTCTAAACGTTGCTATACAGAGCCTTGTCCCTTTTTGCTGCAAAATCTCTTCTACATTCAGGGAGGCTGGGGAGCTTCCAGCTTGTTGGTGCAGCAGTGGTGTGACATGCAGAGAGAAGGACGGGTTCTAAGGCAGGGCTGCAGCCCCAAAACCACACTGGGGGGGGGACCCAGGCAGCCTCAGCCTGTCAGGGGCTGCAGGGGGGTGTTGATCTGTGCCTGTGCTGTCTGTGCAGATCTGGAGGTGCTGTACTGGAAACAGCAGAAGGAGAGGCTAGCGGCACAGAGGAAGCTGCAGAGCAGGATGGTGAGCATGCAGGAAGGGTTGGGGGATGGTGGGAGACACGCTGGGTGGGGGCTCAGTGCTGCTTTTCCCCAGGGGCCACCCTTGTCACTACCACTGGAGCATGAAGAAGAGGAGGAGGAAGAGCTGGGTGCGCTGGAGGAGGAGCAGGGCAATGAAGAGGATGGGGAAGCAGCAGGTACTGCTGGAGACCCCAAGGCTGAGCTGCTGCAGGGGCCGTGGGGGTCCTGAGCACCGTCTGCTCTTCCTGCAGATGACTTTGTGGAACACGAGGACATCCAGGAGGAGGATGTGGAGAATCTAGTTGAGAAAGCTATGGGTGAGCCCCTGGGGGAGCTGTGAGGAGGGTACCCCATCCTTCAGCCACTGCGGTGCATCTTGAGCAGCCGTGGGGGTTCTGGTTTTGTGTCCCACCCATGGGGAACGTGCGTCCCTGTCCTCACCTGGTGGCACAGGGCCAGGCACGCAGTTTTCCCCCCACCACACTTGGTGACACTGCCCTCTCACAGCTCCCTGTGATGCAGATGCGCTAAGCTATGAGGAGCTGGTGAGGAAGAACGTGGTAAGTGTTGTGCCCGAGCTCAGGGCAGGGGACAGCATGGTCACAGTGGGTGCTGTAGGTGTTCCTTATCCCCACGTTGTCCTTTTCTTCATTCTCCCTGTGTCCCTTTGTACTTGCAGGAGCTGTTCATTGCCAATTCCCAGAGGTATGTGCAGGAGACAGAGCTCTCCCAGCACATCCGCCTTTGGGAGGAGAAGATGGGGCCGGCACTGCAGGAGCAGGTACTTTGCTGGGGGAGTTGGGGGAGCAGCAGTGGGGCTGGAGGGAGGCAGAAGAATCACCCTGCTGTCCTGCAGGAAGAGCGCACTGCCTTCGACATCCACAGCTATGGGGACAGGCTGGCAGCTCGCTTCAGCAGCCTGGGTGAGTGGCAGTCCTTCGCCAGCCTGGTGGCCGGCCTGCCACCCTTCGAGGTGTGCCGCTACATGCTGGCCTCATTGCAGCTGGTGAGTGTGGGAGGGAGCTCCTGGGGGGAATGGTGGGAGGTGGAGAGGGGGGGGGGTCTTTGCTGCAGCCCCCAGGCCTTGCTCCTCTCCTTAGGCCAACGACTACACCGTGGAGGTGGCACAGGACCCAGGGCTGGAGGAGGCAGTGGACACAGTACGGCTGCGGCTGCTGACACGGGAGCGGGCACACGAGCGCTTCCGCACCTACATGGCTCCCTCAGCCTGCCAATGAACCTCTCTCCCCATATGCCCCCCCCATCCACTTTGTACAGCCCCCATCCCCTACGATCCCACAGCATCAAGGTTCTCTTTCCTCTCAGCAATAAACCTCCCAACTTTGGTAAAGGCGGCCTTGTTTTTGGGGATGTGAACAAAGTGTCTCTGTGGGTTGGTGGGTTATAGAAGCAAGAAGAGTCCCTTTGGGGGCTGTCCCTGTCCTGGCAGGGCTGCACTACTCAGTCAAGGAGTGGCTCATAGCTCTCCATGTGTCGCCGCACGCTCTCAGCAATCTTGTCAGCTGTCTTGCTGCGGTTGTAATAATCCAGGAAGAGCCCGTCAGGTGCCAGCAGGTAAATAATGATGGTGTGGTCCACAATGTAATCACCATCCTCATCTTTGGGCCCGGCACTGGCGTAGACACGGTAGGCGCTGCTCACCGCCCTCACCTGCTCAGGGCTCCCCGTCAGCCCCAGCAACCGCGGGTGGAAATCCCGCACGTAACGTCCCACCGCCGCCACATCGTCGCGCTCGGGGTCCACAGTAATGAAGAGCGGCTGCACCCGGGGCAGAGCCGCGTCGCGGTCCAACAGCTCCACCACCCGGCTCAGTTTCTCCAGCTCCTCCGGGCAGACGTCGGGGCAATGCGTGAAGCCGAAGTAAAGCAGCACCCACTGACCGCGGAAGTCGGCTTTGCAGCGGGGCCGCCCGCGGTGATCCACCAGCTGGAAGTTGCCTTGTCCCAGCGCCAAAGCTCGCAGTTCCCGCTGCCGTCTCTCCCGCCGCTCCCGTTCCTTCCGAGCTCGTAAATACAGCCACGCACCTCCAGCCGCGCCCCCCACCGCCGTCACCACGGCCAGCCGGCGGCCCAGGGGTAGAACCGGGGTCGGACCCCCCCGGGCCCCGCTCAGCCCGCGGGTTGGGGCTGGGAGCTGCGAGGGGCGGAGGGGGAAGAGGCGCAGGCAGCGGACGGGCAGCAGAGCCATGGCCATGACTGCGGGGAGGGGGCGGCCGTCAGAGCCTTATGATAGCAGCCGCATCCTCCCCCCCCCCCCCCCCCCCCCCCCCCCCCCCCCCCCCCCCCCCCCCC